AAAACGTTAGTTAAGGGATGATTCATATTCTAAACACCGTGAAATAAAGAAAAAAATTCAAACGTTATGTAAACGTGAAATTGTTATACTGTTAAGTAGGAGTATATTGCGTCCACTTTGTCCGGTCGTGCGTCTGTTCGTTCCTCCAACAAACAATGTGCGTCATCACCACCGGATATAGGTACCTCCGAAGCAAAAGAAATAATGATAGCAAAAAGTATCTTTTCTAATCCACGCCCAATAAACAACCATTCGCCGCTATTCGCCGTACAATTTATCCGCTTTATTAACATGAATTTCTCTAAGTAAATAATATTTTATTTCGAACTGTAGTGTTGTTCAAGCTTAAATTTGTTCTACGAAAACGTCAAATGAATAGTTGAAGGATAAATGTGCTTTAACAAGTTTGCACTAGTCACAAGCTTCGTTGAACAGGTACCCCCTATCCGATTCTGACGGTTTAAAGAGAGAGGAAGCCAATTAATCTATTGAGTACTTTAGTATACACAATGGGGAATTTACCGGTTTTGCATTTTACTGGTTTACAAAAATACCGTCGTCGATGAATCAATCGATGTCCGTTTTTCGAGGTAAAACTAAATAAATAAGTAAATGAATCATCTTTATTTCAAGATGATGGTTCCATTAGTTGCAATTAATCTTCCTGGGGGATCTAAAAAAAATGATAAAGTACATACAATACTATGATGATATATGTACACAATATACAATATTCTATACTTAGATATTAACGAAAAAAAGGATATTAATTTGTCCTCTTCATGAAAAACTGTAACATTTTGTTTTAAAAGATACAAGTGTATTACTCATATACTACCATTTGTAACTTTGATTGTACAAACAAATACAAACAAATATTAATAGTTTATAATGAAATTTTATCTTATTTTTAACAAGACGTACTCTGCTTTACAAACAATTCTAAAGAAAATGACACAGCACAGAGGAACACAACTGCCGAGAAACAGACAAATTTCCAACAACAAAATTGTTCTTTGTATTTTTATACATTTTTGGATCCATGCAGACCTTAACTACGCAACTCCTAGCATTGTGTTGTCTGGTAGTATTTGAGAAAACGAGACGAATTTTCCAATTTGAAAAAATTTTGCTTATCTATTTGTTAAGTTAAAGACAATTTGATATATATAAAGAAAGAACCCCCCATTTTACTATCCACAGTTTCTTAGTGTGGATAGTAAAATGGGGGTTGTCTCAGAGTTGGTAAAATCACTCGAAACTAGGTGAGACATGCGCAGTAGTGATAGGTGTGTAGTATAAATATAGAAAATTGAATATTTTAATCAACAACAAAAAAATAAAAAAAAATATCTGTATCATATACCCAAGCGCCTGTGATTTTTACAAACGTAAAAATGGAAGCCATTGTAGGGATTTTAGCTCTTGACCACCGATAAATTTATCCACATAGCACCATTACGATCCTTCTATGCCAGTTGCATTCAAAGACAAATGTATATAATAGCTATTGATCATTATCTAATTCACTTTTCTGTATTTATTCAACTTAAAACTATTGTCTGATCGGTTGTCAGGCGGAATTTTCGAATGTTCAAAGTAGATATTTCATGGATAGGCAGACTAAAAATGTTCAGAGGTTGAAGACTAATAACCCTAGATAACACACACAAAAAATGATTTTTTTAAAGTTATGCATTTTTAAGATCCACTTCTCTTTTCGATGAAATTATTGCCCATTTTTAGGATTTTTTCCCAAAAAACTGCCGGCGGGGGCAGAGATACAAATTAATGCTTTAAAATCATCAATCTTTTATCTTTCTATGGATTTTTTTTCGGCGGAATTTATGCTTATGCACAAAAAAGATCCACTTGTATTTGCACCTACCACAATCGACTGTTTTATGAAAATTTGCCTATAGTTTAAAAGTTTACACATATCTCGAAGCTCTATACTATAATTTAATCAAAAACACGTATATATGATGCATAAAATCCTAAATTATGCACCTTTATTAAACTTTTAAAGTCCATAGAAACAGATGTAAACAACTCAAATAAAATAATTTGGCATTTTTAACCTTCACTAACAAAGAGTTCAATTTTCTTTTGTTTAATTTCAACTGGGTATCCGTCTGTTACTTTTCGTCTTGTTTCTAAATTTTAAAGCCCAAACAAATAAATTTTATATTAGACCGATTACCCTGTGTAACGTCTAATACATTGAAAGATCAAAAGCAAAAATTGAAAAGATTGGTTAAAATTGTGATTTAGGGACTCAAACTCCTGTAAGGATCGAAAGACGATTTTATTATTTTAGACTATTTGTGGATCTTGTGTTGCTAATCAGTCGCTCTGTTTGGGTTTCGGTCTTGTAATTTTAACTTATATGAATAAGTAGATGTGGTATGAGTGTTAATGAGACAACTGTACATCCAATTCACAATGTGTAAAAAGTAAACAATTATATAGGTCAAAGTGCGGCTTTCAACACGGAGCCTTGGCTCACACCGAATATGTTTCCAATCTTCCCCGTTCCCTCAAACAATCTTATGGTCGTACTTCCGAATTTATTTATCTCTACATTGTTACAAATGCATTCAATTTATCTGTGGAAGGCACATGTTGCTTACGCTCGGAGTCAAGACTATTCAATGATTGAAATGTTCTGTGTCAACCGTTACCGTAATAAATATTTGCTACTTACATGGAATACTTAAATCAAAAGAGCATAATACCAGGACACCAGGACATATTTTCTAGGTCAATGGAATTGAGTAATTGCCAATTCATTCTTAAATTAAGGTGTTACCCAACACCTTGACTAATATTAATTTGGCTCGTTTAATTTTCATAAAATTTTGACAAAATGTTTACTTTAACCCTTTGACAGAAATATAAAAATTTCAAAAAATTTGAACCAACCACTTTATCAGAAAAATTTCACTGGTTATATAGCAGTTTGACAAACACTAATTTTGATCACTGAGTGCTTAATATTTCCTTAACAATACAACGTGATTAAAACGTTTAATTGATTTTTACAGAGTTATCTCCCTGTAGTGTTAGGTACCACCTTAAAGGATAAATAACCAGGAAATGTTTTCTCATACAAAAATCGAGACACTTTCGTTTTGAGAATGTGCACGACTTACGAAATAAAGAATCGTTGTAATATACCTTTCGATGTACGGATGTTGTCCAAAGCGTATTGGTCAAACAGTAATCAACAGATCTAGAATGATTGTTATATTAATTGTTGTTTAGATACAATGTAAACAAGCCCCACAGCACAGGATCAGGACCCATCAGTACCGGTCAGGATAAAGTCACCAGGATATTCTCTCGTAAAACAACAATGCCCACCGTATAGAGTAGTATTCTTTTTGACCTCACGCCATATCTGACTTAAAAACGTTGTGTTTCATCTATGTAAAGGCAATTCTAACTGTTTTGATCACGTCAGTATAGTCTAAGAGTAAAACGAGTTTGCGATTTGCACAAAATATATTTAGTAAGCAAATGTTTTTATGAACAGAAATGCAAGGCTTACATTGTTTTTTTTTATTGCAATAAAAATATTAACACTCTTAACATACACCATATTAAGTAAATATGATTTAAATACACGTGAGTGATTATCATTAAACTGAACAAACAATAGGAGTCACTTTCTTTGACGTTTAATAAATAATTTCATAAAGTCAAAAAGTTAGTTGAAATAAATAGTTCCGATTTTGTTACATTTCTTGACGATAACATATATAGTAAGCTATAAAAGTATATAATAGTCTGAGAGTAAAACGAGTTTGCGATTTGCACAAAATATATTTAGTCAGCAAATGTTTATTTTGAATTTTGAACAGAAATGTACGGAAGCCGGTTAGTGTCAGGGTAGAGTTTTTAAAACGACTTAGCTAACTTGTTTAAACAACTTAGCTAACTTGTTATAACAACTTAGCTAATCTATCTCGTTATAACAACTTAGCTAAGTCGTTTAAACGAGTTAGTTAAGTTGTTTAAACGAGATAGTTAATTAGTTTGAACAAGTTAGCTAAGTTGTTATAACGAGTTAGATTAGCTAAGTCGTTATAACAAGTTAGATAAGTCGTTTAAACGAGTTAGTTAAGTTGTTTAAACGAGATAGCTAATTTGTTTGAACGAGTTAGCTAAGTTGTTATAACGAGTTAGATTAGCTAAGTCGTTATAACAAGTTAGCTAAGTCGTTTAAACGAGTTAGATAAGTTGTTTAAACGGGTTAGCTAACGAGTTAGCTTAGTCGTTTTAACGAGTTAGCTAAGTTGTTTAAACGAGTTAGCTAAGTTGTTTAAACGAGTTAGCTAAGTCGTTAAAACAAGTTAGCTAAGTTTTTATAACGAGTTAAATAAGTTGTTTACACGAGTTAGCTAAGTCGTTATAACAAGTTAGCTAAGTCGTAATAACGACTTAAAATATAAATCTCTACCCTGACACTAACCGGCTTCCGTAGTAATGCGAGGCTTTAAGTTACATCGTTTTTTTTATTGCAATAAAAATATTAACACTCTTAACATTCATCATAAGTAAATATGGTTTAAATACACGTGGGTGATTATATTTAAACTGAACAAACAATATGAGTCACTTTCTTTGACGCTTTATAATAATTTCATAAAGTTAAAAATTTAATTGAAATAAACAGTTCCAATTTTGTTACATTTCTTAAAGATAACGTATAGTAAGCTTTGAAAGTATCAGACATTTCACAACGGGATACAATTTTAAAAAAGAGGACCAAAACAATAAGCAAAAAACAAATATGGTAGACAACAACCAACGAAAAACACTGAATAAAAGGCTCGACTTGGGACGTACATATATTCAAAATTTGGCGGGGTTAAACATGATTTCTGGCGTTTAATCCTCTCCATAACCTTGGACATTGGTTAAACAGCACAACATAAGACCAAACTGTAAAAATCAGTTGGAAAAGCTGGACTCGTCAAAAATAAAAACACACACATTTTTAAATATTTATCAAAGCGATTAAAAAATAAAGTGAAAATAAGTAATAAATGAAAGAGTTTAACAAAAAAAAAAGAACTATACACACAAATATAAAACAAATATTATGTCATCTTGTAATAAAAAAAATGAAATGTTGCTACGTTCTGATTCATTCTCCGTCGAAGTTGATCATATACTTTTCGTTTATTTCCGCATACAAGCTTTCTTTTTTATCTTTACCATTGATTTTACAAGGGCCGAAATTTGGTCGCTTTCTCTTCGTTATTTCATTTTCCATGGCAGTGATACTACCATTTCGTCTACAAACTGCTTCTCTGTTCTTCGCGAGTAGACCACAGATGACAACTAAAACGCTTCCAACTGCTACACATGTCATGTAAGTAACAACATCGTCATGTTCTGTAAATTGAAAATACAACAATGTACTTTAATAGTAAGCATAGATAGAGTTATGACATGTCGTCGTGTCAATCTTATAGTGTAAGATGACCCATGCTACCCACCCCCTCCCCCTTATCTGGGATATTTTTACATTCATATGGATATATGGGCAACATTTGATTCGCCCATTTTTTATACTGTTCATAGAACCAAAAAATATATCGCCCCCCCCCCCCCTCCCCCACCTCCTTTTCAAAACTTCTGGATCCGCCTCTGAGTGTTATTTGTCCACTTTTGATAAAAATGGAGATAGCTATATATTTGATATCCAAGTACAATGATCTATCTCTCTAACCAACTATAATATGAGATTTCTATACTCTACGAGTTTTTGCCAGAGCTATACTGTTTTATCTCCACACTCCCATATGATTATAATAGCTTATTCATCTTGCTAGTTTAGAGAACAAAATTATAGTTTTGTATCTCCACTATTTTCCAGGTATTTTTGCTGCAAAAAAAAATCCATTGTCTATCTCCAATAGAAATATAGGGATACATTTCTAAAACAACATTTTTTACAGTGAAGTGTTTTGAAAAAGGTGCAAAGCCAGATTTCTCTATTTTATTCTACGTATTTTAACAATTCCATATCTTTACAACTGATAGAATTCTTACATTAAATACGGTTTGTGTTTATCATTTTTTTTAAAGTATACCAAGTTTTAAAACATTTACTGTAGAGCATCTGCTAATCCTTTTTATGCCCCACCTAAGGGCATTATGTTTTTCGGTCTGTGCGTCTGTTTGTCCGTTCGTTCGTCCGTCCGTCCGTCTGTACCGCTTCAAGTTAAAGTTTTTTGTCAAGGTAGTTTTTGCTGAAGTTGAAGTCCAATCAACTTGAAACTTAGTACACATGTTTCCTATGATATGATCTTTCTAATGTTAATGCCAAATTAGAGTTTTGACCCCATTTTCACGGTCCACTGAACATAAAAAATGATAGTGCGAATGGTGCATCCGTGTACTATGGACACATTCTTGTTTTGTAATAAGATATCTCAATTTTTCCAGATCATGTGACAGTATTTTCTTGGATCTTTAGAATTATCTTTTTGTATTTTGGTTCGGTTATCAGTATATTTTTCTAATTCATGTATATAATAATTATCACAAAGTTTAAAAACCTAAAACAAACATACCGGCAGCCTGTTCGGGTGCATAACTATCTATTGGAGGATTTGTCTTCTCAGTCCTGTCTTAAACATGATTAAAATAGAATGCATATTAATGTTACATGAAGTTCAATACATTGCTGTTCTTCATTTCTGTATTTTTAAAATTTGTTAGGCCATTTGTCTCTTTTTTTTTTTTAATTAATTTTGCCCATTATTCAATTATTTATATTTTAACACGCCATTATTCTCTATTCTTTATTAATGCAAGGATGATAGAAAGGGAATAGAAATGTGGTCACTCTTGGTCTTCTTCCGACCAGCATTTATTAAAGCCCTTGGCAAAAGTTGGGCGTACGTTTGGTTGTGCGGGATGTATAAAAACGCAGCGTCCAGTCTAAATGGGGACGTTTGATCCGATGCCTCGTGTACCACGCTCTCTACACGTTTAAAGCCCTTGCAATAACTCTTTGAGTAGTCCGTATCTGACTTCTTGCTAGGGTTAATTTCAGTCCGTATTGAATATAACTTAATTTCAGAGTGGCAATCCTAATTTTCTACCCTTCATCCCGGTTAACCCCTTTTAAACGACATAGTGATACCTATTGTATTCATTAGAATTTTGTTCTGGTCCAGAACATTTGTGAAAAAATTGCCACTGGACATTAGGCAAACACCATTTAATCAATCAATCAATCAATCTACTTTTTATTAGTTTGATCCATTTTATTGTAGTATTATCCCATTATTCTCTATTTCTATTCTGTTATTTAACTTAACACCATTCAGACGCATACATGTACTACCAACAAATATTCCGTTGAAAAAACATTGTGACTTATTATTACAACGTCATGACGCTTTCGTGTTCGTTTTCAAACAATTCCTTTCTAAAAGTAGCATAATGCATTGAACCGTGATATACACTCTCTATTTTGCAACTAATGTAAAATTATTTTAGAGTTGAACAACTTTTGATTATTCAGTTTCTTAAGTCCATTCATTATGCAACCGGAAACGATATCAATCATCATTTTATATGGTATGTTTGTATTTTTATTTACAATATTTACAAACAAAGCTGAGAATTAATGTAAATTGCCCTGTTTATATTGTATTTATACGACAAGAAATGTGATTGAAGATTAACAATTGCTTCAAATGAGTGGTATAATGTGTAGAGGATATATTAAATGCAGTAGTCAAAAGGACTAGGAGTACGGAAATTTAACAAATTATATTATCAAATTCGACGTTTTTGGTGCAATATGTCAATACCGCAACGTCTGAAAACGTACATACAAAAATACACTATTTGATGGTTAGAAGTTGAGTATATTGGTTTGAATTAACAATGATATTCATTGTTGTGCTGATATTTCTTTTGTTTTTTGGTTTAAAACGCATTCCAGAAAATGACCTTTATGGTTCAAGTGTAAAATCTAAACTAAAGCAGTTTGTGAAGACTATTAAGTTTTCTTAAAAGCTGTATCGATATGTACAGAAATGCTTTTGAAGATTTTAGGGCCGGTTTTGGTCTTTATGGCAGTCATCCTTTATACAACCTCAACCCCTATCTACACTTATAAAATGTAAAGTATGCATATGTCATCGATCTCTTACCATCCACTGTAACAGTAATGCATCCCCTCACATGATCACACCTGTGTAAACAAAATACCTTATAAGTTTTCTTTACTTATTTTATATACAAAATATATCAAGTTAAATGTACATAACTTTTCATATTCGCTTTCTGTTTATTAAATATGTTTTCCTTAGACTATCAATATGAATAAAATGATATATTGGTATACGCCAATGAGACAGCAAGCCACCAACATTAAAACCAAAAGACTTCTAGAGGTGAACATACGGTCATAAAAAAAAATATGCGTAATTCTACTTTTGAAATTTCCTTAAATGCAGAACCATTAAGATTTTATAATAACTTATGGATCACTAATTAAAAACAACTGCTGATTTTTAGAATTATGACAGATAATATCTACAATGTAAATAATGAATAGGCAGATACAGGTATCTACAATCAAATCAATATTATGTAAAAGCACAAAACGTGTGTAGATCATCAGTTATTCGTCCTACAAATGGCCATTCTATTCTTTACGGACAGGCCTCGGTGTGACTTTAAGATGAAGAACAGCATATTCAAGTACTGTTTCTGAACTGTCGGCATTGTCACGTCCGTGTGTGTGTGTCTGTATGTGTAGGAAGTTTGTACCACACTTTTGAATCAGTTAACCGTAAGGAAAATTATGTGCCACAAATGACCACAGAGATTATGTCAATTGCCGTAGCTACATTCTCGTCCTTTTTTATAACTTGTATTGTTTTGTCCTTTTAATACTGTTATCTTGCTTTTGTTTTCTGCCACAAATGAAAAAGTGAAGGTAAACAAAATTAGGAAGTGGATGAACATCAAAGATGGTTATAATGGACATTTTTTTTCGAATCAAACATGTTAAACTCCCATTGGAATGTAATTCTTACTTCAGATATAACAAGGTGGCCGGGGAAGTAATTTAAAGATGAACAGCAAAACAATTCTATAGATATTAGTCTTATACAGTTTATTTAAAAGAAAGATAAAGCTTAAAACCTTTCCGTGGCGTTACAATGGCACAACTCTGCACATTTTACTCCATATTGTCCATTTACGCATTTTTCACACTGTTTCCCCTCCGAAGAATGGCCAATCGGACATTCTGAAAAAAATGTCAATGTTAGAGACGTTGTATGTTTGTCGACGTGGTAATATTAAAATTAAGACCCAAAACCAAAAAGTTTATTTTTCGTAAGACATTGGAAATATTTCTCTTTTGTTTAATTACTGGCATGTATATTTTTAAGACAACACGTGTTCAAACAATGTACATTGTTGTTAAAAACGGTCATAATAAAAAAAAAGAAATATCAGTCGCGGGCAATCTATTATGTAATAATAAACCAGTAAACGTTTACCTGATACTGCCTGCTTCACCAGCAAGCCTAAGAGATAGTTTGAGATGTGTTGTTTTGTGATGGAAACGATTTAAATTGGAGGTGTACGAAGTTACTTTGAGATGTAAACAGTGGGACTGCTTTTCGAGAGTTAGGTAATGATGTTATGGAAGTATTTTTACTAATATATTGAATGGCTGTGTGGAATTCAAAAACTCGATTGACAAATTGTTTTAACGGGTTGAATTCAAGTGGTTTTAAACTTGCTAAAGAGCCCTTTATATTCTTTATAACAGCTGACACTATGAGCGAGACTGAAATGTTTTTGACGTTTTATATGCAATACACAATATTTTTTTTCTAGAGTCTATGGTAAGCGCACGCCCATTACAACACCGCAAGGTACGATTGGCTGTTTTCATTTCATTATTTCATTATTAATGTTTTATTTGTGTTTCCTTCATTCGTTTTTCCTTTTCTTAAAATGAGTCCAACTATGACAAAAATTTATACATGTATATTGCATGTATATGTTACAGTCATTTTCTAAATTTAGGCATTTTGTAAAATGACTAAATTCTCAGGCAATTTATAAAATGCCTAACCTTGACAGGCATTATATAAAATGACTAAAAATACCTAGTCATTTTGTAAAATGACTGAAATTTTGAAATATAATTCAACAAATTGCCTATTCAGTTTCAGGCAATTTGTAGAAAAAGGATATCATTGAGATGTATATGACAAAAAGTGGACAAACACACAACATCTTGCAAAGAAAATAAGTAATGGTTTCGGTAGAATTAATTTATTCTTCAAAAACCAACTGGGAAAGTTTGTGTCATATGATATGTTCTTTTTAGTGAAACTACGTTAATTATGTAATCACTCTGTATTTCAGAGAGTAAATTTATGATTATTTTGCCAAAATGGCAGAAGGACAAATTGTTCTTTCAACTGAACAAATTTTACAAAAGAAATCTTAGAAAATCCAGATTCAAAACAGTGAAGTGAAACATATGAAGCAGAGAAAAAGAAGTCTGTTTTTAATTGACTGATTGCTGTTTGTTTGCTTTCAGTAGCAAACATTTCATGCATTTTCAAGACGAGACTAATTTGGTTATAATTCTTATGGGTTATTTCTGCAGTGGATTGACCTGGATGAAGAACATGAATTTCGACTGCCGCTTGAAATGAAGGTATTTTGGATAGGGACAGAAAATGCCACCTGCAGAATGGTCAAAGAGATCTTAACGTGCATAGAGTGTTGCACTTTACTAACATGCGGCAATATATTTAATGTCCCCATTTAGAAAGAATGAGAATTTATACATCCACCTCCAAACAAATTCCCCTCTATAGCATGGGTTTCGCAATAAAAGGCCGTGTTTGGTTGTGATGCAAAGATATGAGTATTTTCATCTTCACTGCCTCAAGGGAATTCCTGGGTCTTTGCAATCTGATGAATTACAGAGACAGTAGTTAAATGTTGTTAAAATCTCGACTTAGCGCTTCGACCACATTTTGTAAAATGCCTTTCAATTTTTCCAGGCATTTTATAAAATGCCTAGAAAAAATAGTCATTATGTAAATTGCCTGAATCTTGTTTGCATTTAGAAAATGCCTAAAATTTTAAGGCAACCGCACAGCCTATACGGTATGGGTTTTTCTCATTGTGGAAGGCCGTGCGGTTGCCTATAATTGCTTACATCCACTTCATTTGAACTTTGGTGGATAGTTGTCTCATTGGCATTCATACCATATCTCCTTATATTTATATTGTATAAACCTTTCTATTGACCAACCGTTACATAATTTCTTTCTTTATTATATGATAATTACTCGTTAACGCTCGCCATAATTCATGAATACGTTGTAAGTTGTAAAATGAATAAGAGATTCATTTCTATAACATATACATAAACATGCACAATAAGCTTTTTAAGGACAAAAAAAACAAGCTATTGTAATATTTCTCCAGGGATTAAACGAATTGTAATTTCATTGGGGAATTACCTTTTTCCTTAATTAAAACTATAATTATTATAATAAACTGCACTCAGGAAAATAGAACAAATTATATTTCCGCATTGATTGAATAAATTGAAATTTAACTTAATCTATTTCCATATAGAATTATAATTAGAAGAAACTATAAGTTTTCGAAATTTCTAATTTTCATTGAAAAATCTACAACTTTCAATTGTGAATTAGAACAAATGATGTATTCTTTGTGGAATAATTTCTGTTTCCTTAAAGCAATATCTTTAAATTTTCGTATCCCTTTTGGACGGGGCTCGGTATTTTAACACATTTTGAATTTGGGAGTCCCTGATGCAGGTTTAAAGGGGGCTTTGGACGCATGACATTTTTATAGTAACTGCGTTATTTTCGTTTTGTGTACCCTCGTATTTATATTTTGCTAATTTGTATTGTATCAGGGGAGTGTGAATATGTTATTATAATTTTATAATTTACTTTACTATAATAGATTATATTTACTCTCAACTTCACACATATTTTTGTAGGCCGTCTTTGTTAAATTCAATTGTAATTTTGTTATGCCTATTTAATTTAGTTATGTTTATATTTATGATGTCTGTCTACACAATTGTGGCTGCTGTATCATAAATATTGTCAAGTCTGTTTAGGTTGCTCATACAATGTTGTCAGTATAATGGAACTATGAATAACTGTCATACAAGTGGAAGTTTTAGCTAGCTTTAAAACCATGTTTAACCCGCCATTTTGTACGGAAATGCCTGTACCAAGTTAGGAATATGACAGTTAATTGCCAGTCGTTCCGATGCATGGCTAATATAGTCGAGTTTTTAATTTTGACAGTTTTTGTAAACTTTCCCACTATTCTCGTATATCACGACGTCAACATATCTAGGGATAAGTTATCAGTGACGTACCAATGTGTGAGGAGGCTTTATCATGCTTATTTTCGCCAAGCGTTAAGTCTGATAAACATATTATTATTGTAAATCTTTTATACTCATTTGCTGTCTTCACATTGTGACTTGTGTCTGATGTTTTATGTTATCAATAAGTAGGAATCCCAACAATCAATTCGAATATTGGTCGTTTCCTATTGTCTTGACTATATATGTAAATACAGTAAATTCTGTCTCATATCTTGACTCATCCAGCTAATTGGGGAAGGGGGGGGGGGGGGGGGGGGGGGTTCGCGTTGCTCAATCTTTAGTTTGCTATATTGTGTTTTGTATACTGTTGTTTTTGTCTTTTTCTTTATTTGCCATGGCGTTGTCAGTTTATTTTCGACTTGTGAGTTTGAATGTCCCTTTGCTATCTTTCGCCTCTCTTTTACATCTAGAAATTGACAATGACGGTCGGTTGGAACAAAACTTTACGACAAAATAGATGATTTCAGCTTTCCAATGGGAAACTTTGCGTTTCTGTGTAGCAACATTTCAGCAGCGCCTGCATATGGAGTATATATATCTATCAGTCGATACGATACTCATGAGTTTGCATTTCCTATATATTTTTCATTGATAGAAGATTTCAGCTTACAAGGAAGCATTTAAACCAAGAGTTCCAAACGGTGAAGTTGAAATTATTTCTTCGAAAAGTTTACGGACGCCATCACGAGTTGGTTAACATTTATGGAATATCTGTTCCACAATCGCGTCCTTCTTTACTCGAAAATGATTAGACTTATCACCGGATTTGTATTTATATGAGCAGCAGGACGGATGGCACATGTAGAGCAGGATCTGTTCACCCTTCCAGAGCACATAAAAAACTCCCTGTTTGCGGTGGGGTTCGTGTTGTTCAGTCCTTTGTTTTCTATGTTGTGTTTTGTATACTGCTGTTTGTCTTTTGTTCGTTTTTTCACCATGTCATTGTCAGATTGTTGTCAACTTATGAGTTTTAATATTCCTTTTTTATCTTTCCGCTCTCCCTTAAATCACTCAGGAACCCAATATAGCATAATTTCGATAGACAGCTTAAGAACAATTCCGTTTCGTAATTAAAGTGCAAGTATTCTGTCAATGAATAAGTCACCGAAACAAACTGTGCTTCACCATGACATTAAATAATGCATACATTTTTCCGACTTTTTTTTAAATTTATACATTAAAAAAAAACTTATTCATCTTTCTTGCTAAATTAAAGGTATGCATTTATTATTTCTTGAAAGATTTCGCACAACAAATGAATCTTTGTAATCAGATCAATTGATAAAGATTGTAAGTGAGAACAAACACGTATACAAGAAGTGTTAACTCAAACTACAAGACCAATTCTAAAACAACTGATTTCAGGAAAATCCAGGATATAATGCAAAGGATTCTTTATGCTTATGGAAAGAAAACACAGCCGCCGCCTAGAGTCGGTAATCGATCTATAAAGTTGAAGCAAACAGATATTTTAGTTATTGCATGATGTATTTGTATAAGTGAAAGGCGAACGATACCAAATGAATATTAAAACTTATAGGTGGAAAACGAACTAACAATGGCATGGCAAAAACGAAAAGTGATTAAAAGACAAACATCAGTAAACAAAACACAGCACAGAAAACTAAAGACTGAGCAATATGACCACTGGGGGTGCTCCGGAAGGGTAAGTAGATCCTGCTCACATGTGGCACATCGGGCTGCTGATGTGAGTACAAACCCGGTGATTAGTCTAATTCGGTAGGTCATATTCGAGGAAAATAGAACGGGATTGTGGGCACAACAGTTGGAACATATATGTCGTCATCTGTGAAATAGCTATTCCATAACGTATACATAGCGTCCGTAAAATTTCGACGGGATGATTGTAACTTTTGGTTAAATAGCTTCCTTGTAAGCAGCAATCGTCTATCAAGGATATCATGATAGGAAATGCATTCTCTGAAATATCGTATCAACTGTGAGATATATACTCCATATGCCGGCGCCGCTGGGATATTGTTACATAGAAACAGAAATTTTATAATTGGGAATCTGTAATCATCTCTTTTGTCGTACAGTTGTTTTCAACCGACCCTCATTGTCAATTTTATATATAACTAATGAAGGACAATGGTGTTGATTAAAAAATACACCATTCGTGCCATTCCAGGCCCTTTTGTTTTTCACAAATTATTATTACCAATAATTAACAAGTTCCGGGTCAACGGGTTCAAATAGAAAAATTTTGAAAGCAGAGAAAACTGTGCTCCTTATAATCAGCATGACTTTATCAGATGACAATACGAATACTTTATACCCAGGCTAAAAATAAGGCGTAGGTACTTTGCGATGTCGCGGGTGTGTTCTAGTATGTTTATAAAGATATGGAGATATGGTTCAGTATCGAAGTCAAATTGAAAATTGAAACCGTTTGCAACCGAGATTTCCCTATAGTTGGTGAATTTGTGAATTCCTCGTGTTCCACTCCTTTCTGTTTTCATTGAAAACTGTATCATCGACTTACTAGTATTTCTCCACGAATATTAATATATTTTAAGTGTTTTATTCGCTGGAATCCGCCATGTTTTATATCTCTGACGCAAGAACCATAACTATGTCGATTGAAAAGACTAAAACAATTTGCACCGATCACGACCATAGGCGATTTCGGAATCAATTTAATTTTTGGAACCTCATTTCAAAGGTCACCTCTCTTGAGCCATCACTTTTGATACTTCCCAAGAGTGACTGCTTAGTACATGTTTGACAGGTACTTACTTTTTTTCAATACTAAAATGATTCATCAATTACATGCAAGTAAACTTTATCAGAGTGCATATTTTATATACTTTCAACAATGTAAGCATATTTTTAGTTTTAGTTCATTTATATGTTTTGGAGTTTAGTGTGACGTCCATTTTCACTGAACTAGTACACATTTGTGTTTAGGGTCCAGCTGAAGCCCGCCTCCGAGTGCAGGATTTTCTCGCTGTGTTGAAGACCCATTGATGGCCTTGGGCTGTTTTCTGCTCTTTGGTCGGGTTGTTGTCTCTTTGACACATTACCCATTTCCATTCTCAATTTTATATTGTTTGTATTCCTGCAGTTCAAAACTGATGCTTTAACATTTTTGTATTTTGATAATCAAGTTTATGTATTTGATTTTTTTTTTTATAAATTGGCATTCTTTCACACAGACTGTAACATGAAAGTGTGAATTAACAAATAAAATTATACCATTATCTTAACAACTAAGAAGCATGATACCAGAAGACCATACTATACAATACAATCTGACTTTTTTGTAAACACGTTACAATATTATTTGTATAACAGCTAATTACATTATAAATATTCATATTTTTCAATTCAATTATCAATTTAGATGAATATATTTTCTCTTTACTGTATTTTTAACTTACCAACACAGACTTCATTCTTCTTGTAAAAATTATTACAACAACCCTCCACTTTTACTATCTTGTCTCCTACTGATCTGAATGAAAAGTGTTATCATCGTTACATTTCTTGTCGATAAATTTCCTCGCTGCTTTAAATACACATCATTATAATAACAAATGAATATTCAATATATGTTGTATACTTGGAATTTGATTATTGTAGGCATTTCGCTAGATAATATCAAATGAAAGAAGATTAAATATTGGATTTTGAATTGATAAAACTTTGTCATGTTTGTTTCCTTTTAACAAAAAAATTCAGACAGAGAATACCAAATTGCGGCAGGTGCATATCTTTAGACATTTGTTTTAAACAAATCTTTCTATTTGAACCCGTTGACCCGGAACTCGTTAATTATTGGTAATATTAATTATGTGAAAAACAAAAGGGCTTGGAATAGCATGAATGGTGTAACTTTTAATCAACACTATTAAAATATAGAATAGGGAATAGAAACGGGGAATAAGGCTCGGTTGGATATAATTTGCAATTTATTCTGGCATCTGTAATGTTGTGTTTATCTTATAATGATAGGATCGCTTAGTTTATATAATTAAGAGTATCTAAGCTTTTGAAAAGACTTTAGCGTCTTCATATATCATGCGTTTAATTTTGAAGCAGCCAATTCAAGTTATATACAACAACGTTTCATGATTTGAGTGAAACATCAGAGTATTCCTTATTTTATATTGAATACACTTTAGAAATACAATGCAGATGAAATGGACCTAATTGGGAAACCTTAGAAGTTTATCTAAAATGTCCTATCAACTGCATAATTATTTTTCCCCAATATAATATTGAATCCTTACCCCCAGTTACATCTGAAAAAGGAGAGAGAAGACATATTGTTACCAAAAGAGTATTATCAAACGTATCGAACTCCAAGGTAAATTCGAAAAGGGTAAGGTCCAAAAAAATGACAAAATCAAACGCCCGATTATGACAACCAACGAAATTGGACACAATTGTCATATTCCTGACTTGGTACAGGCAATTTCCGAGAAAAAGAAAATGTGTGTTAAACCTGGTTTACAGCTAGCTTAACATTCCATTTGTATGACAGTTGCTTATAGTACCGTCAAATTTACAACATTGAGTGAGCAACACAAACAGACAAAATCTGTAAACGTGACAATAACCGGGCAAACATACATCACAGACATATAACACAACTGACTTAAAACTTTAAACAGATATACTTAGGGGGAGGATTGAGCGCCCACAAACATGTTTAACCCCGCCACATTCTTTATGTGCCTGTCCCAATTCAGGAGCCTGTAGTTCAGTGGTGGTCGTTGGATCATGTTTGTCATATTTGCTTTTCGTAAATTGTTTTGTTATAAATTAGGCCGTTAGTTTTCTTAATTGAATTGTTTCATATTTTTCGGGTCGGGGCCTTTTATAACCGACTATACGGTATGGATTTTTCTCATTGTTGAAGGCCGTACTGTTGTCTATAATTGCTTGTACCCACTTCATTTGAACTTTGGTGGATTGGCAATCATACGACATCTCTTAATTTTTATATACAAATAAATCTGTAAACAAAACCACCAAAAAAAGTGTTTGTAGCTGATATTACATAGTAAAATATAATGGCATGTATTTCCCCGATTTACTACAAATGAAGTTAAATATATAAATACCAGTGTATACAAAATGAAAACAACACTATTGAAGACTTCAGGGCCAAGGGGCAATGAAAATGTAGAAGTCTAATAAAAACAGACAACACCGTCCCAAAGAAAAAGTAAAACAAAACTAAGGTTCCTCCTCCACTGGTGGTACATGCCATGTGTCTTATTCGAAGTAAAGTTCGGTAGTAAGACGCAATGGTTTTGTCACAATACAGGTTGAGATGGGATTGTTGTTACGACAAGTAACACATATCCGTTGTCACGTGACACAGATATTCTATAACATAACGGTCATGGTTTCAACCGTAAAAGTTTCGAAAGAATGAATTCAACATTACAATTTGGAACTCTTTATACAATAGCTTCCTTGTAAAAACTTTAACGGTAATACTATTTAACAACAAACAAGAAAGGAAAACGCAATTCCTGAAATACCGTTTCTATCTGGAAAACATGCTCTATATGCTGCAGCTGAAGTAATGTTAATGTTTTAAATATGGAAAATATATAATGGGAAAAATAATTATATTAATTTTTGTCGTATAATTTTGTCTTTATAACTTTTGTCAAATCAAAGTCCTTGATTTATTTCAATACAATCTTACTTACAATATCTTGATGTGCCCGTGGTCATCTAAACATTTGTAGTTTTCAACACTTTGCACTGACATTGTCAGACAAAATAAAAGAGAGGTGAAAGATACAAAAGGGATATTCAAACTCATAAGTCGAAAATAAACTGACAACGCCATGGCAAAAACATAAAAAGACAAAAAGACAAACAACAATATACAAAACACAACATAAAAAACTAAAGACTGAGGAAACACGATCCCCACCAAAAACCGGGGGCGATCTGAGGTGCTCCTGAAGGGTAAGCATATCCTGCGTCACGTGTAGCAACCGTCATGTTGCTCATGCTAGTATAAACCTGGTGATAAGTCTTATTCGGTAGGTCACATTCGAGGGAAAGGAGGCCGGGGATGTGGTTACGACGATAGGAACATATCCGTCGTCATCAGTGAATTATAACTGGCAGCCAACTCGTGATGCCGTCCGTAAAAGTTTCGAAGGGATGATTTCAACTTCCCCATTTGGAACTCTTTGTTTAATAGATTTTTTGTAAATAGCAACCATCTATCAAGGAAATCATGATTGGAAACGCAAGCCCTGAATATCGTATCGAATGGGAGATATATACTTCATATGCAGATTTTGCTAGAATGTTGCTACATAGAAATGGAGAGTTCACAATTGGGAAGCTGAAATCATCTCTTTTGTCGTAATGTTTTATATAACCGACCCTCATTGTCAATTTCTAGATGTAAGTCAGTGTATCTGTTTTAACTTCTTATTTCGAATTCAATGGTATAGATGCGTTCAACGTGGTCCCAAAACTTTGAATTATTTAGTGAAAGGACAGCATCTATATAGCTGAAAGTAAAGTTTAAGGATAATGCTAGCTGCTTTTCATTAAGAAGCTCCTGTATGAAGTCAGCCTCACATGGAATAAAGGAAGACAAGAAGAGGAACACAGTTGGTTCCCATGGGAATGCCGATTGTTTCTTGAAAAACACTCAAAACGTAACAAATATGTTGTCAATCAAGAAATCAAGCATCTTCATAATGTCAGTTTCAGAGAATTTTTTGTTTGAATCAGAATGATTTTTTTATAAAGTTCGATTTATCCCTCCCTAAGACAAGATACGTGTTTCTACGTTGGCTTTTTTTTTATTAAACAAAGCAGGACCAACTCCTTATTAGTATTAATTACTTTAATAATACTTATTAGTATTTTAATACTATTGCAAGATAAAAGAGTCATTGATTGTATATACTCTAACAGATTTTTGGATTTTTAGTACCCCCATCTGAAACCGTATTTATTATATTCTTTTGGCCGTTTGAGTATTATTTCCTTTCTTATATATGAGGCGAAAGATACCAAAGAGACATTAAAAATCATAAGTCAACGAAAATCTGATCATGGCAACAACAAAAAAAAGACAAAAAGGCAAAGAACAGTTTAGTAAAGGTGACAAAAAAATAATTAAAGACTTAAGTATCATGAACTTACTAAAACCGATGGTGATTTCAGATTCTACGGTAGGGTAAGCAGACCCTGTCGTATTTCTCAATTTACAATTTCAGTTATAACAACAGACTCATTGCAAACATAAAGACAATCATTGGGGACATCAAGATATAATGTAGTTTTACTATAATTTGGTTGTAAATAGCGTATGAAAAGGTCCAATAATTCGGGTCAATTGGATGAAATCAAATCCGTATGTGTACATGACAAAACAAAAAAATAAAAAAAAACAGCTGTTATAGTGTTATTCTAGAGGATCAATAAAAACGAACTCCAGATAAACATGTACTCCTACTAAAAAACAGTATGTTAGTGAAACAAAACCTACCTTCAAGTTGTAGGAGCGACAAAAAAGAACATGGCCTTACCCTTCTTAGAAATTTTGAAAATTACAATTTTTGTTATATGGTTGAAACCATCAGTGAAGCATTCAACAGATAATACTACAAACTCTGAAATCTTCCGAATCGACTTTCCAGTTAGCCTGTTTTAACCTATTGCCATTCCATATCTCATCTTTTGGAATATTGGTAAAGAAGCGTATTACTCTGTAATGAATATCTTTTTGGGTTGCTCATACCTTTTGATATATTGCAAAATCTCAAAATGAGGCTGTTTCAATTCTTTTTTTTTTTTTACTGCAGGAAGGTTAAAGTTCTGAAGCAAAGACTAGTAAGTAAAACAAAAATTAAAAACACACATAATATTAGAATTTGGCTGCATAGTGCATTGCAATGTGGTAACATGTTTTATCATTTGATAGAATTATATGACGTTTTGATTTTTAAATCTAAATTATGGCAAAAAAAGGTCGCCTTAATATTTTCTTCTTTTCAGCTATTTATATCAATGTCACTAACAGTCAATGGTTTGCATGTGCAAGTATTGTTTTTTCCATTATTTTATCATTTAAAAAAATCTTTTTTAGCACTACTGGAGTTTCTAGCACTTATTGATTATCACATACCTTTCTCGTACTTTACAAACTCCATATGCAAGACCTTTTACTTGCATGACACTGAGAATAATACACAATAAATAAGTCATGCTTTTGATCAATATCATTTCCATATTTTTCTTTTGAAAAGTTTATTAAATGAAAATACAACTCAAGGAAATAAAAGTAAAACACATTTGATTCATAGGATGAAAAAAACAGGAAATATTTCAATATTTATAATATATCTATATATATAGATATGAATAAAATTCAAGAATTGAAATCAACTTCAATTACTTCCTGGCATTGTGCCGTTTGAAGTATTTCTATTAGTTTGAAAATATATATGTTCCCATATACTATGTAAACGGATAAATACAATTCATACAAGATCTTCGTGGTCAAAGAGGCTAGTTTTCTCTACACTGGCAAAAATGCCACACATGTGTGCATGCGTGACACCTGCGTTTCACATGTGTGTCACACCCATGTGAAAGAGACGTTTCGTGCCACGCATGTGACACATGTGTGAAAAACACATGTGATACGCATGATACACACATGTGATCATGCGTTTCACATGTGAATTCAATGCGTTTTCTAACACATGCGTAATACATGCGTTATACAGGCAAATTTTGTTCACGTAAATTTCATGTGATATTCACCTTAAAGAGCTTATACATGAAACTCACGTGAAATGCTGATTCACATGAAATTTTACGTGAAATTAATGTGAATCAAGCTTTCACGTGAAATTCACGTTAATCACACAAATTTCACAGTATTTAAGCATATTTTAGATAAGTTAATGCTAATCTAGTACACATTCTATTTTGTTATATATAAATATTCTTCTTGGTCTTGACTATGTGTTCATACTTCCATTATATTTCACTTTCTTGTATCTAAGATTTCTTGGTCCTAAACAATACAAATAATATTTATCTATCAACTCACAACTCACAATATCTCCAATGCAAGAGATAAGATGCAATAAAACAAAGAAAGCAAGCAAATATCCAGGTCACCTTAGTTCACTCCTAGAACTTTTTTGGTTGTGTTCGAGTCTCAATACTTTTTTTAAAAGTGATTGGTGATTCATTTATAAAATAGGTATGCACTGATGATTATTTCATTTTTAATATGTATGTATAAGTCATTTTGTGTTCATCAGTCATGAGACAATCCAATCACATTATGGAAAAAGTCTTACTTGCAAAAGATGCCAATTTTTCTAATGAAAGTTTTGAAGAAAAAAAGTAGTTCACCCTGCCACATTCTCATGTACCCGTTTCAAGACAGGAACCTTTTCAGTGGTTTTCTAAAGTCTCATCTTAATAAAAAAAATTATTTAGAGAATTTGGTGTTGATAGCAGCTCTTTGATTGGTATTGTTTAATTTATTCAAAACTTTAATAGACTTTGGTCAATTAAATAGATCATGATATATTGTTTAAACACCTGTTTATTGTTGAGGACTGTATGTTAGAACCTTAATGCCTTTCAGGTGTTTTTGTTGTTGTGTAGCTGTCTGGTTGATTTATACCTCATATCTCATTGTATTAATAAACTGAAATAGAAAGTTCTGTGAAATATATTTGATATACCATATTGAAAGTCTTGCTGTTATTTACAACCGTTTCCTTCTTATTTCATATATGTATTTCAGTTTTTCATTTTAACACCGATCTTAATGTTAAGGCAAAAAGAAAACAAATGTTGAAAAACAACAGGCATATACCATTACAAAATCTCAAAGTTTGGCTGCACAATAAGCTAAAAATTCTTGTTATTTCAAATATTTATATAAAATTCATTTTAAAACATGCATTTTTCATTTTTAGACTGTAACTGTCATGTTGACACAATAATTTGAATTTGAATTGTATTATATTCTGAAAGTACTGGTGGTTGAAAAAATATACTCCTATATCATGACTACATGTCTGTTAGTAATGTTTAAGAGTTCTCTTCTGCATGTAATTGCTATAATTGCTATTTGTACCCAAGGCTTCCTTCATACATTTGCACTTATCCTTCTAAGATGTTGCTTGAATGATAAAATCCTGAAATACATTATCAGCCATCAGACTGTTGGAATACAGTTGCTGTAATAAAAAAAAAACAGCGTATATTTTTTGTAAAATATACATCAAATATTGGCTTACCAAGCAGGCAAAAATGATAACATTAATTTAATCTCCAATGATTTACCAAACTTATATGTATATGTTCTGCCTTGGGCGCAGAGAGTTAAACCATATATATGTAGATCATTTTATTCAATTAAACATTCAATGCGTCAGGAGCTGACAGATCATGAAGCCACATACATTTGGTGAAAAGCTACAATATAAAAAATAAAAACTAATAACTAACATTGGTAACTACCAACTGTAGTAATAAAATACAAAAATCTATGATTGAAAACACTCATATCAATGAAAAACACAATTGACAAAAAAGGGGGAGAATGTACTGAACTGACTTGACTACAGTTGTACAAAAATTGCTGTCTTCATAAAAATTACATATGACTTAGAAATATACCAAATAATACTGTTTTCGCATACAAATAAAACATTACAAAGTTCACACATGATTATTTACACAAATGCCATCGTTCGTAGAATGTAAGCTGTTTGGATATATGCTTTCTCATGACTTATACCGCAAATAACATAATAATAGCTTTAACTAGAATATATAGGACATAATGGCATTATTACTTACATCGTAATTCACCAAGGGACAAGGAGAAAGGTAATGTTCTTCGTAATTATGTTCAAAAATTTATTAAGCCATGCTGCAGGAAATGTAAAAACAATGTGTAAAACAAAAACAAGTCGGATTAACCACAATTATCAAAAATGCAGGTTGCGTATAAAGAGGGATAACTCTAATGATATTCTTGGCATTACACTCCCCGTCTGATATGAATATATCACTAATAAAAAATTTAACAATACTTCAAAAATCAAAAAAGTTTGTCCAAGTACACAATCAAAAATTTTCTCATTCTATATAGTTCACAAGTTATTTACACATAACAAATACTACTTCATTAGCAGGTCTAGTGAATAACTTCCTGTTCTTCCCGAGACGCACTTGAACTTCACGGACGCGACCATCAGAGCTTGCATATGTTTGTTCAATAACACCAATAGGCCAGTCATTACGGTGCAAGCTAACATCACGCATAAGAACAATGTCACCTTCAGTCAAGTTTCTGCACTCTTGTTTCCATTTGTGTCGCATTTGTAAAGTAGGCAAATATTGAGTTCTCCAACGTTTCCAGAATGAGTTTGCAAGTTGTTGAACGCATCTCCATTGAGATTTTAACAAATCTTTATCGCAAAAGTCCTCTATTGAAAAAGATCGCACAGTATGTTCACTTTTCAAAGTGAGTAAAGTTGAAGGAGTAAGCGGGAATGAATTGTCAGGATCCATATCTATCGGTACGAGGGGTCTTGCGTTCATAATAGATGTTACTTCGGCCATAAACGTTGTTAATACTTCATGTGTTAATTGTTTCGTTTCCATAAAGAGGCTGTTAAGAATATTTCTCGCTATCCCAATCATACGCTCCCAGCTGCCACCCATGTGTGAAGAGTGAGGTGCGTTGAAAATCCAATTTATGTTCTTGTCACTGAGATAGTTTTTTATTGGTCGATCTCCAATATTTATAATGTTGACATCAAGTTCACTCAGTGCCCCAACAAAGTTTGTCCCACAATCAGATCTTAAGATTTTTACTTCGCCTCTTAAAGCACAAAACCTACGTAATGCATTGATAAAACAACCAGATGACATTTCCTCTATCACTTCAATGTGTACAGCCCTAACCACAAGACAAGTGAACATTACAGCCCAACGTTTACTTTGTGCCTGACCTCCACGAGTTCTACGGGTAGTAATAGTCCAAGGACCAAATACGTCAATTCCAACATATGAAAATGGAGGTGCTGGATCTAATCGGTCAAATGGCAAGTCAGCCATTTTTGGAAATTCTTCTTTTCCACGTAGTTTACGACATTTTATGCATTTATGAATCACAGATGAAATGAGACCTTTTCCTCCTATCAACCAATATCCTGCCGATCGCAAAGCTCCTTCAGTGAGATGGCGTCCTTGATGCGCTACTTTTTCATGATAATGTCTCACAAGTAATGTTGCAATATGATGCTTAGGTATGATAAGTGGCTTCATTTCATTGGGAAATATGTTTGTATTGCTCAAACGACCACCAACACGGAGTAAACCTTTATCGTCAATAAACGGGTCTAATTGCAAAATTTTACTGTTTGCAGGAAGTTTCTGTTTGTTCATCAGTGCCTTATATTCAATGCTGAAAGCTTCTCTCTGAACAATACCTATAACTAAATTCTGTGCATCTAGAAACGAATCAGTTTTACTAGACTCTTGTCTATTAGTTTGCTTTACAATAAAACATCTGAGAGTTTGTATAGCTGAAACTAGAGTTTTCCACTGAGAAAAACGTTCAAATCTTTGAGAACCAATTGCAGGTTTAGTTACAAGTGTTTTTGCCACGCGGACCTCTCTATCTTCTTCTGGTAAAATAAGAGGGAACTCGTCTTCTTCAATTTTGCTATTTATGGTGTTTTTCTTACAAAGAAACTGAGTAGGACCTACAAGCCACTGACTTTGATTAAGCTTTTCTGGTCGTATAGAACGAGAAGCATCATCGGCTGGATTTTGTAAGGTAGGTACGTATGACCATTGTTCTGGTTTTGTCGATCTCCTGATTCTGTCCACACGATTTCCAACATACAGATAAAATCGCTTTGTTTCGTTGTTTATGTATCCTAATACAACCTTGCTGTCGGTGAAAAATTGCACTTGTTGAAATTCTGTTTTCAGTTCTTCGCAAATAGTTTCATACAGTTCGACTGCCAGAACTGCAGCGCACAATTCCAAACGAGGTATGGTGTGGCCGTGCTTTGGAGCCACTTTAGCTTTTCCTAGTACAAATCCAAGATGTGTTGTTCCATTCTTATCAGTAGTTCGTATGTAGGCAACTGCCGCAACAGCTTTTTCAGATGCATCAGAAAATATACAGAGGTCCTTGTTAAGTGTCCAGTCTGAACTGTAGTTTCTAGGTATCTCCACTTGTTGGAGAAGTTGAAGAGAATCTTTCCAAGATTGCCATTTCGACTGA